AATGCTGCATTGCAAAGGTCCTAAGAAGGAACGCCCGCACACCTCTCCAGTCTAGTAAATCATTTTATTCGAACAGATAATAGAATGACAAAAACGACTGATCATAGCATAATCAGCGGCCACTCATTCGGTCCAGCAAGTCTCAGCTCCTGCATCTTTTCCACAATCCACAAAATTATCCACATTCGCGCTTTACGGCACAGCTGTTGTACTGCGGAACAGGTCAGCTCATGTCTGTAAAGGAGTCGGAGATGCCTGACAACCAATGCTCTGGTTATCTTGAACCGCAAGGACGGACCACTGATGCCCATCCTGATATTGGATCTCAAGGGGCTGTCTGGCGTGGATACTACGTAGCTCGATGGTACTGGAATGATTAGCCTGGGCGCTACGGATCTGGGTGCCCATGGTAGTGGCAACCTTCAGGGCCCACGATTTGCGGGACGGCGTTTGGCTGGTCTGGTCCTGAGAGGCCTGGGTGCAGCTAGGCCAGTTGGCACTGTTGAGAATGGTTCTCTCACTATAACTATCGCCAGGCTACTAGACTAAAATTTTTATTATTAAGAACGTAGTGGGTATCAAACAAGCGTGATCGCAGCAGATTCCGCTCTTCTAGCTTTCGCTGTCACTGTGCTGCGCCTGCCGCGCAGGCCTGGCGTTTTTTCTGATCCAGTTATTTAACTGTAACCAGCAGGCGAATCGATTGCGATGCGTTTACTAGAGGGCAGAATAAAGAAAGGACCGACAATTTACTAGTGACACAATAAACTGCCGAAGAAAGCCAGGTTTACTAAAAAAAAATCGACGCGCCCAAAGAAACACATTGGCGGCGGCGGCGCGCCAACCAGTTGGCGTCGGCGGCGTAGCGAAAACTGTTGGCGGCGGCACGCCGACGTCTCGGCGCACACCTCTACCTGTCCACACTATGTCTTTTTGGCCATTGGCCGCTAGGCGGCGACTCTGCTCAGTCTTTGCGTCGAGTAGCGCCACCAACAGTGAGCAATTAAACGAGAGCAGGGATACAGTGGCTAGAATATAAAAAGTGTAAAGACCACGCCGCCTGCGCTTACGCTCTCCACCGATGCCTCGACCAGCGCTGTCTAGGTGGCGCTGTTTGTAGCTTACACGTTGCTCGCTCGGCGGCTCGTTGCAGCTTCGCTACCATGTCAAGGCTGATTTGTGGCTGATATGGTTTTGTTTGTACCGTAAATATTATGTGCCTCTATTATATTGCAGGGCGTAAGTGCATCATATATAAATGAACTTCGCGCAGATATTATCAAACATTATCACCGTATGGTGTGACCATACCCATAGCATCATAAGTGAAGCTTTACATCAATCGCAAACATCGCGGCCAGCTAAGCTTGCCACTGCTAGCGATCGTTCCTTGGTGCTAAGAAATGTAACCGATTAACATTTTGTGGGGATTGCCATTTCGCAAGGTTAAAAGCAAGCTCAAGAAGTACAATATGCTACTGTGACATTGATATCAATTTCTTTAATGTTGTTATACTTAACATTTTGCATGAGATAGTTTTTAAGAACTTAATTATTCTTACGTATTCACAGTGGAAATATTTTTCGATTAACAACTGCACAGAAAATTAGACAGCGTTTTACTTCTCTTACAAATTTTATTTGAAGTTGGGAGCATCATAGTAGGGAACAAGGCTAGAACACTAGTGTGATGCACATCACATCGTTCTTCGAAGCTTGAGGTGCTTTGATCTTTCTCTTGCAGAACTTCTCTGTTTGTTTAGAGATTTCGTGAAGAAGTGAAGCCGTGTGAGAACATAAAACTTGATTTTGTTGCTCGTCAGATCTTGTTTGTGTGAGTCACACCCTACGGATGGTACGGTCTGCATTGAATTAAGAAGTTCAACTATAGTGTCCCTTTGGAGCTTATTATAACTGAACCACAATCTAAATGTGTCCTCCAGTGCCTCCACAAATAAAAATAGCTCAGGTGACGGGAACAAGAGCCCTCCAACATCACAGAATGCTGTGAATGACGCAAGGTCCTTATCGGCGTTCTCGAGGGATGTGAGCAGCTGCTCAAAACAGTCCCGGCATTTCGTTGCCATAACTTTCTTCCGCGCCACATAGCCAGCCAAATAGTACACCAGTCGCGCGTCACTGACTTGCACAGGATACACATGGTCAGAAAGGACAGTCGATGCCTGTAGTACACTTGAAGCTTCGTCCAGGTTTCCACTGTCCAGTAAATTGTCGACATGGTTGGCCACTTAATCAGTTCCAACTAATGACAAAAGTGTGCCACCTGCACAATTGCCCGTGTCTGGTGCTTTTACCAAATTGTAAAAGCTAAGGGAATTCACGGCAGTAAGGAACTGGGTCGATGTGGGATGATCGTTGCATCCGGATAACTGACGAATTGTCTCAAATAGCTTTTCGATTGGATTTTGGCTGAGGCGTGAAGTCAACGAATATTTGTACTGCACTTCCTCTGACAGGTATGTTAAAAGTTCCAAAGTGCCTTGCAGAGTTACTCTTAGATCTTCTGCAGTGCTAGCAGACAAAAAGCCTGCCTTCGTAGGTCCGGTGCAGGCTTCCCAGTGGTCTAAGTATGCTAGAACACCCTGCAGTACTCATTCCTGTTCAGAATTTTTTTCTCAGTGCCGTTGAAGGCACTCTGGATGTCATCACAACAATTAGCTTTTCCATGAAGCGAACAAATTGTTCTGTCGCTTCTCTATCGAACGTGACTTTGAGATTGCTTCTTTGTATAAGAGAAGCCCGCGTGTAACCTCAAGGCTGAAGAGATGAAATGCATAATTAACTTTCATTTTTTCGAAGTTGTTGGGGTTCAAGTCCCCTTCTGTAATCTTCGGCATAGCTTTCAACGTTGTAGCAGACTTGTCTAAGTCGTGAGCTATCCTGATTGGCTTAACATCAACGTGCCCATCTGGTGTTTTATAGCCATTTTTGATGAAGCCGTTCCTGATGCACTTTCCTAAATGTGGAAAGTCAGACAGAAAGAAAAGCCGCCTCTTGACCTCAGTTGGATGAGGAGCTGAAGGCTTGATAGCTGATGCCGAACCAGATATGCCAAATCGATGCCACATTGCACGGTTCCAAGATGCTCCATGCGATGTCAAATAGTCTACCCTGAGGCCAGCATTCTCTGCCAGGATAACTGCTTCTAAAATGATTTTGGAAAGCAGTGGGGCTTTCACGTTGCCTCTAGATGCAAATACACCCAAGATTTGGTGCCATGAACCTGACAAAGGTTGAAACATTATCACAAGACCATGATCACATGGAACGCTTTTGTCAGCCTCGGGAGTGAAAAAACCAAGGTCTACAAATCTATCAACTTTTCCACTTCCCCGCTGAACACCAAAGTTTTCTGCAAGTTTCATTTCGTCAACGATCAGTCCACCATGACGTTCAAAGTCTCCCATATTAGCAGTCTTCTTAGAAATGCCCGAGAGGACACATTTATTAAAACCAAAGCGCGTGTCGTACTTCTTCATGAATGCTCTGAGGCATGTACGATTGGGTAGCACAAAAATTTCCTCCCTACGCAGATGCTCATAAAGTCGTAGGCTCTTTATGTGCACGATGACACACTCCAACATCCACTCCGGGTTGTAGCGCATGCCATTTCGGGACTTGCGCCTTGCAGCTTCAAAACACTGCATTATAGCGTTTTTTTGTTTGGATGGGAGCTTGTCTATTTTGCTCAAGAGTGCGCTTTCTTCGTTCTCTAGTTTTAGCTGTGCAATGGTCTGGTCGAGAGCCTTCACCTTGTTTCTAAGGCGGCGTACTGTTTGAGCTTCAGCTTTAAGCTTTGTTGCATGGGTCAGTTTGCCTGCTGTTTTCTTTTTCCGGTATCTCTGATTGACAAAGAGCTTTATCAAGTACTTGCAACTCATGCAGCGTTTTTCATCTTGACTTGAGGTACCTTTACACTTGTGATGGTAGAGCTTCCCATTCCAGACCTTCAAGTTCTTACCAGATGATGCAAAAGGAAACTCGCACAACAAGCTTGCCCCTGAACACACTGGCATGGCATTAACAGTCTCCAGAAGAGAAGCTGCTTCATATGGCCAATTCATCGAAATCTTCATACCACGCACAAATACTTCATGCGTTACGGCAGTTCCACTAGCACAAATTTTAACAAGTTTCGTAGAAGGCTCATGTCCGAGCTAGGCGTGCACAAGCTGTAGGTGACATTTAGCGGTTCCTCACTAAATACTTGCCTTCCCCACCGATTTGAAGGAAGTGGAACATGCTTGTAGTCGTAAACGGGCGCAGCTGAAAGGTCGGGTGGCTCCGGTTCATCCTGCGGCTCCCGGTCGTCGTCCTTTCGACGTCTTTTCCACGCACAAGCAGTGGGTGTGATCTCTCCTTGGTGTTTCTTTTTTGCGCCATACGTTTCGAGAGGTAGAAAGGAGCATTTGGAAAGATCGTTGGGACGGCATGCGGCAATAGTACAGGCCTAGCTCTGTCCAAACGCACTACCTCACCGTTAATAACGTGCTCGAAGTGACGCGAGATGAACTGCTGATCGAAGTGGAGCTCACAAACGGCAGCGTTCTTTTCCAAAGGCTTGTCTGCTCTTGGTATATTACGCTGCCACTGCTGGAACAAATGGTCGTCTTTCGGGACTCCAAACAATGAAAGGTTCTGCTTGCACGATTTGTACCCAGTTGAGCATCTGGGCACAAAACAGTGGCTCTGACGTTTGCTCGTGGCACACACTCCACAAAAGACATAACGTAGACACGAGAAAGCTGCCCTAACAGCAAATGCAGCACGAAAGAACAGCTTAGACAGGCAAAAGAGTCACGTTTGACCGGCGAGTTGCAGCGTTGAACAACGTGCGCAGCCTGAGAGCCTGACGTGTATACGACAGCGCGCGCTACCTTGCGGAAACATCGCAAAGCGGCGTCACCACCTCTCAATGCAGCCGCTTGGCGGTGATTTTTAGTATTCTAGCCACTGTAGCAGGGACACGCGCTCCCGCCATCTGGTCAGGTCATGTCAGGAGTGCAGTAGGTTGTGTTACAGCATTGTAATGGCTGTCTTCTGGTTGTTGTGTTCGGGTGTCGAGAGCTGAGCAACGTTAGTAGTTTTCTATTATTTTATGCGCGCTGCTCGTTGTCCATTCAGTTTTGCTTGATCTGTGGTAAGACACTGAGCGTTGAGTTTGTTTTGTTCAATGTGCCCGGTTCGTAGTTTTTGTGAACCTAGTGCGACCGGCTCGTTCAACTTGCCATCATGTTAGGCCTAGGCGCGGTGAAGTGCGCCCGCCTGTGCGAGCTGAGCTTTCCGCAAGAAATCAAACGTGGGCTTGCCTTGCGAACTTGTCGTTAAGGGAGGCGAAATCGCACTGTAGTTCGCACATGCTTTACACGCGGTAAGTGTGAATATTGTACTAAAATATGCAGGGGTAAAGCGTTTTTTTTGTGTTTGCGCGTCGTCGAATCGCGCCTCCGTTTGTGCTATGGAATGGTGGAATAGGTTATTTTGCCTATATTGTGTGCATTGTTTTGCATGATAGGTCGTAGCCGCTGCTACGAGACTATAACTAATGCTGGTGACCGAACAGACCTTGGATGCAGTGTTGATTCAGTATTGCTGCAACTGTGATTTCCCCGCAGGTCGCGGGATCGAATCCCGTCTGCGGCGGCTGCATTTTCGATGGAGGCGAAAATGCTGTCGGCACGTGTGCTAAGGTTTGGGTGCACGTTAAAGAACCCCAGGTGGTCGAAATTTCCGGAGCCCTCCACTACGGCGTCTCTCATAATCATATCCCAGTTTTGGGACGTTAAACCCCACATATCAGTCTATCAGAAACCGTGATTTCGTGTTCGGAGACAGTTGTCGGTAAGCTCAAGTTCGTAATGATGTACCGGTGTCACACGGTCACTCTTCGTTGCTATCAGGCCTGATCCGGAACGTATTTCTTGATCATTATGAGGTTCTTTATGCAATCTGCAAAAGGGAGCCAATTGCTCTCGATAGATTTGATTCCGATCAAGCGTAATCTGCCATCAGCAGTGCACTGTGTAATGCCGATGACAGACAGGCATTTTGGATCGCGATCAGGGCTGATCTGAATTGGGCTTGATCCGGATCAGGTGCTGCTGTTAGAATGTCAGTTTTAATCGTGATTAGACCAGCCGATCAGGATAAGCACGATTGCGATCAGCGTATCGTGGTTTGACTGGCTTCTGCGCTAAGCTCGATATGTGTCTGTGGACCGTGTGACAGCAACCTTTGTTGATAGTGATGAAGACATTCTGACACGGTTAGGCCGTGTTATTGCCATTCCAAGTGTGTGCGTGACAGCGGTGTAACGCCGGTATTTTGATGATTTGCGCTACCACTGAACTTTCTCTGAGCCTGCAGCCCTAGCGGAATAGAAGCAGCAAGCGGTTTCGCTTACAAAAGTTTAATTGTACAATTTTGATATAAATTTTGTTAACGATGAAAAAAAAAACAGCGCGTGAACAGGACGGTGATTGAGACGAACGAAGCGCTGTTATTGTGGCATTAGGCCCTGAACATCAGTGCTTAGTCTGTCACTGTCCTGTTTTTTTCGCTTCGTTGATCGTATACCAACAGGCCCAAATATGCACTTTTGTGCAATTCCGTCAATTTCTCACTTAATGTTGTACTTTTCTGTTTATTTTAGCGAAGTGAGAAGTAAGTACATGTGGAACTGTTCGTTTTTCTGTGTTTGGATGCAGTGTTGGCCTTTGTTGACAGTGAGTTTTTATAGTCAATCTGCCTTGCGATGCTGTTGCTATTGTTAAAATTTTATTTGTATGTTAAGTGTAGAAGTGGGAAATTATAAATTGTGCCCATTGCCAGTGGTGGGAAACCAGCGCCAACTGGAAATTACTGTGCGATACCGCTTCAAAAGTTTTTTTTTTGTCTAATTGGCACCATTGCTGCACCACAACCTGATCTGGGACCGAAAGTAATGTTGACAGTTTCTATTAACGTCGGCTGTATTTGCGCAAAGTTGTGCTGCTTACGGAATTGGCCGATATTAAAGACTATTGATTTTCTTGGGATACTTCGACACAAAAAAAATTTAGTTCTGGTAGTCGCCCGAAACGGCTTGCCTTTAATTCGAAACTCCAACCACATCTGCAGCGCCCAGCAACATCAACATGTCAATGTACTGTGGCGTGTTTCTTTATACTAGATAAGTCATACATAAGTGCCTTTTCTGATAACCATTCGCAAATAACGAAGGTGATGTGGCGACTACCGAAATGCGCGCCTGTATGACTTGAGGGCCGTTCCACGTGTTACACGCACGTCCGCCGTGCACATGCCGGGACCCCTACCGCACGCAAGCGAGGGACAAATAAGCCAATTGGCGACGCTCTTTCACCCTCCGCTTGGGTGTGGCAGGTGTGGCGGCAATAAGCGTCTTCTTTGATTTCTTCATCGAACCACTTCCACGTGCGTTGCGGCTGTGCGGCGAGCGCGTATAAAGGCACTAACGCCGACGAGAAGCCTACGTGAGTGACGTAGCGCCGCATTAAACTTACTGCATGCATTTAATAGCCGGCGACTACCTGAGAGTACGGAGGCGCCGCTCGCTGCTGCCTCATTCGTTGTACGGGACCGTGTTCCGAATGCACTGCTTTGCAGAAGCGAAAGCGGCTCGTTGTTTCGGAGTTGAGCGAACGCGGGCCCTGAGCCGGCAAGCGTAGCACACGCTTTCATGAGGCGACAGCTCAAACTCGCCTCTATTTGCTGCCAGGACCGCTGGAGCATTGCTTGCAGAAAGCTCGCATCGCCGGGTTAAGGCAAGAGGCTTCTTGTCGCATCTGTGCACGGTCTGCAGCGGAGTGGGTGCAAGCGGCTTGGTACAGTGTGTACGACAAGTAGGTGAAGCTCTGCACTCAACTAGGGAGTAGCAGATCGGCTCCCCGCGACCGTACCGCGTCTCTAGAAAACCGTGTCCGTTTTTGCCAAGTAGCAGATCGCGGTACACATTTATCGCAGACAGCCGATTATGTCAGTTTCGTCGTTACGCCGGTCGCTGCGTTGGGTGCGTATCCTGGACCCCGCAGTAGTTTCGAAATGCTCTTTGGTGTCGCCACCGTGTGCCGTCGGACGGTCGTGTAAAGGCTATTTCACATGCCGCGATTGCAGCGAAAAAAATCGTTCCGTTCGCTCCATTCGCCCGCTGCTAAAGGCTGTTTCACATGCCGCAATTGCAGCGAAAAAAATCGTTCTGTTCGCTCTGTTCGCAACAGCCGCTAATGGCGGTTTCGTTTCACATGGACCGTGAACGGCCCGCGATTTTCGCTTTGCGACTGGAGTGGCGGGAAACGTTTCTTGCCACCGTTTGTTGTGGCAGACACTGTAGAATTTTTCAAATATGATGTACCAATCTGTGCGCTAATATATTGAGTTTACATTAACGGTGACGAAGAGCACTTGTGTTTCATAATTTAAGAACACTTTCCAATTTCTAAGTTAATTTTAAAAGGCACTGCATCGGCCATTACTAAAACAAACACGTCGTGCTATTTCAGTGGCTTGGCCAGCCTGGCCCTATTTCGAAGGGTCCCAACCAAAAATCACTCCCGCCGCTACGATCAGAGCGAAAATTTCCAACATGTTGGAAGCTCGCCGTGAACCGCTGCGGTGGGAGCGAACTGGCCTTTTTCGTTGCGAGCAAATTCGCGGACTGAAAATCGCTGCTTTTTGTAGCGATTTTCAGTCCGCGAATTCATTGTCATGTGAAATGGCCTTAAAGGGCCACTCACCAGGCCCCATACCAAATTTTAGTTGGACAGTGGAGGTTGTTGGGTGTCCGATGAGGAACATTTTGCCACAAAAATTTTTCGGATCGGTTCATCACGAGCGGATAAAACGGGTTTTTTTGAAGCGGCGCGAAAGGAGCATGGGAGGAGGCGAGCTCAAAACCCTTGCCGCTCCTCCGCGTAGCCTTCGCAAGCCAAATCTCTTCCCACCCTCTCCAGCATCCCACCATGAGATGACGTGCCCAAACAAGTCCAACTCCCGAGCACGCGAGCAGCGTTGCTTTGTTGACCAGCGTTTTTTTTTGTGGTCTTCTGCCTGTTTCTGCGGGACGGTTTCAAAACGCTGGCTAAGACGCGGTAGTAGAGTAGATGAGCACAATGAGTGCGCGAACGTGTAGGAGCGTTCCACGGTGGTCGTCTGCTCAATGCGCTGACCGCGGGGACACGAACGCATGCGAAATGCTGGCACATTATTCCCGCATCTCGTAGCGTTTCACGGGTAAAAAAATGGAAGAAAAACGCACACAATTTTTATTGCGTCTCATTATTTATATTAAGTTTTATTAATCTCTTAAAGCAACAAATGCATAAACTACTCATGTTTTGTTAAATAATTTTTGCCATGTCACGTGGTATACTGTTGACAACGTCAGAGCAGACATGTCTACGCACAGGACCAACGTCACTGCATTGCCGTGTACGTAGGGCCATTCCTACGCCCACGCCATGCCCTCATTCTTTACGCGTGCGCCGGCAGAGGGTAGGGGGAGCAGTTTTGATCTTGAAATTTGACCCATTTCCGCGGCGTGTAGCGTAGCGAATTTTTGCTGACGTGATCATAAACACCTCGTCTATGCATTGCGCTTGTCAACTGAAAATTGTCAAACGTGGTGAGTGGCCCTTTAATGGCGGTTTCGTTTCACATGGACCGCGAACGGTCCGTGATTTTCGCTCTGCGACTGGAGCGGCGAGTTCTTGCCACCCTTCTTCCTGGCAGACACCACAGAATTTTTCGAACGTAATGTAATGATTTGTGCGTTATCATATCATTAAGTTTTTATAAAGGGTAACGAAGGGCCCGCGTGTTTCAACGTTTAAGAACACTTCTTAATCTAAATTAATTTTAAAATGCACTGCATCAGTCATTACTAAAACGAACACGTCGACGCTATTTCGATGGCTTAGCCGACCTGGCCCTATCTCGACGGGTCCCTACCGAAAATCGCTCCCGTCGTTGCGACTAGAGCGAATATTTCCAACATGTTGGAATCTCGCTGCGACGTGAGCGAACTGGCCTTTTTTTCGCTGCGAGCGAATTCGCGCACTCAAAGTCGCTTTTTTTTGTGTCATGTGAAATGGCCTTAAACACATGACACACTAAGTGTCAATTTTCAGTCTGCAAATTTTCTCGCGGCGAAAAAAAAAAAGCAGTTTGCGCCCGCCGCAGCATTCCACAGCGAGCTACCAACATGTTGAAAATTTTCGCTCTGATCGCAGCGTCGAGAGCGATTTCCATTTGGTACTCATCGAAATAGGATCAAGCCGAGCGGTCGAAATTGCGTCGGATGTGTTTGTTTTGGTAATCGCCTCTGTTGTGCATTTTAAAGTGTAGTTAGATTGG